TTATGCATTGTTTACAACACACGGAGTAAGAAGTAAGAGTAAGAAATTGAAAATCACAGCTGAATGTGAGAAGAATAATCGACTGTGATTGGTCTTTCTTTTCTTACTTTTACTTCTTACTCCGTGCATTGTTAACGACGCATAACACTTTGAGTGCCAAAAGCACAATGCATTAAAGATCGCATAAATATAAAGATAATAGGAAATTAAAGTAACGATAAAAATAACGATAGCGCTGTTACTTCTCAAACTTGTATATATCTATTTAATATTTTTTCAGACGCTTTTAATAATAAATATAATAGACGACAGAACAGAATATTCTTTCATACATTTTGAAAGAGATCATAATCATGCATTTTTTAATATCTAAGTGCAAACAATTTATATATATTTTGCTATTACATTTGTTGACATATAACAAAGTACATATTCGCAATATTACGCGATGTAATACATCAGCATAAAGTTACATTTCGTGAGATCTATAGAACTACAGTCAACTAGGTTATTCGATGAGACGAAGAATACTACACAAGGTTGAAAGTACGATCACTATGGAAGATATTTCCAAATCAATGATCTGAAGATTACATGGCCGGTAAGCAGAACGGTTCTGACTTCTAAAAACTATCGTCAAAGCAAGCAGGTACCAAAGCCTCTTCTGACCAGTGGACTGTGCATTCGGCACGACTCGACTGTTCGCGAATCGATTCAGCCGTTTCTGCCTATCTCGCTGTCTTCGTTTATCTTGTCCACTCTTCTATTTATGCTATCGTTTACTTTGTGCCAGACAAAACAACCATGAGCAAGCGAAAGAGCAAGCTCGCTTATTTTTCATGCCGCGCAATTCGGTATTCGGATTCCTCTATTCCGATTTCCCGTTTGCTTTGCACCCCGGAAAACTAATATTGCTTTTTGTTGTACTCTATATTCGTGTCGCTAATGGCAGATAAAGAAGATTAAATATGACATTGCAAATATATCAGAATCTTTATTGTACAATTTTTATCTGTGTACCTCGGGAGACATAAAATATTCGACATCTATGTTGAGAACGAAATGTTTTAAATAACAAAGACATCCAAAAAATATTTTAAAACCTACAGGTAACTCAACGATAATAGTTATATCAATTTTAAAATATATTTTTTATCTTTTAAATGTGTGGGTTTTAGAGAAAATTTATCGAATATTTGACGTAACGTTCAATTCAACGATTTGCCTTCATTTAATCGATCAAGTAAACTTAATCCGTCGTTGATTTAATATCGTTCTTTTTTTGTCCTCATTGAACATTGTTTTTTAACGAATTTTAAATTTCAGTTTTAGTTTACTTTCCATTTGACTGAACAAAGCCACGTGAATAGCAGAACATATTCTGCGGTTTTCTTTTTCTTTACCTTCTACATATTCTTTGCATATTTTTCATTCTTCATATACGTCTGCTTTCTGACTTTTTATATCTTCTCTACATTATATAATAAAAAAAAACATAACTCTTTTTATACTTGCTCGAAGATAGTACGGAGAAAGAGAGAGATATCTTATATTATTTATTAAATTATGTATAAAATCGTATATTGAAAAGAGAAATAGAAATGTAAAAAAAAAAAGAAAAGAGTTGTGCCATAAAAAATCATCCAAATTGTCGGCAAAAAAAATTGAAAGTATTGAATACTCGTATATGACATACATATTTGAGAAAACTGGGCTTTATAGAAAATATAATATGTACGGCAGCGAGCCAAGGCAACCAAGCATGTCGACCAACCAGTATCATTCTCAAGCTGCTCTCTCCTCGCCAATCAGCCCACTCCCGTTTCATAGAAGCGAGAAAATAATAAAAGGAAATAAAACTGGCTATGTGAGACGGTGAGAGAAATGAAAAATAGTTTGCCAAAGGGAATGTGGGTCACGGTCCCATGTAAATCAATGAGAATTGAATTTGTCCGAAGCAATAAGCGCAATACATGATTTAATTGAAATCCATATATATAAATTTCCTTTATGTTTGTAAAAAAAAAACCATCTGAAAACAGATCTCGTAGTTGTTTCATATTCGCAAACTTCGGCATGATATTGTGGATCTTGTACGATTAAACGAAAATACGAAAATACTTTGTAAACAGGAAAGCAATTATCGGTTTAATAACTTCGAAAAAATTTACCTTCTGTCTGGCAATAATTTCATAACAGTACATTATAATAATTGATTAATGAAAAATATATAAGTAAAATATAGTACAGTACATATATTTGAAAAATAATGTCATCTTTGAGATAAAATCGAATAAACGCAACAAAGGGACATTTTATTCCCTTGTTAAAGTTTCTACTATAAAGTGCATGCATTTAAATCATACTAAAGCAGACGGGCAATCCAAGCAGAGCAAGGATTATCTTGGCAAGAACATCCAATAACTTTGTGAAAAGTCTAATTCTTTTATCCTGCGATTTTAAAGCTTCCAGACAAATGCTCCAATTTATTGGTATTAAAGAAGATAATAAGAGGATTGCTATATGTAAAAAATCGATCACATTACGATAAAGATTGATGTTAACTACGAGTACGTATGTCTTTTATAAAGCATGAAATCGAGACTTTGACAGATTATTGAATTAAACAAAATATTAAACGAAATATAAATTTAACAAAATATATATAGTGTAAACACCCCTAATATGTCTTCTTCAATAATTACTAATGTGATGCGGTAATTAAAATATCGCGTCAGAATTATTGCAATCCCATGCGAAATACGACGATGCCAGGCGCGCGTTAATCTATTCACGTACGTGACATCATGACAATGAAATTAATGATGATTATGATACACGGGATTATGATACACAAATCCACCGTTCTTCAGTGAATCCATCTACGTAACACGCTGCAAGAGTACCACGGCTACTCAGCCCGCGCTCTCTAAAAGTGGTCCATCAGAGAGTGCTGCAATAAGTTTACTCTTCTCCGTCAACATGGCAGGTTAAAGTTCACGGAAGCTAGATGGGTGCTGCTGAAAACGGGGCTTTTGGCTTAACACAGTTGCCTATCAAGTACGGCGCGCAGCTGTTTTAACGACCCATCACTGTACGCCAATCTTGCTTTAAAATTAGCAAATATTTTGTTAGCATTACGGCGAAAGGCACCGTCAATGTCAATAATATTTGTCGTAAAAAAGATAATGGCATTTACTGATATCCACAAAATTAGACTTGAGAAAACAATTACGCCTTATTGTAATATTAATTCAATCAATAATATGATGCTTCTAAGAAAAAGTGTTTTAATGTAACTGATTAACTGTTCGGTAACTGAGAATATTTCATCAGTTACTGGTGAAATATCATCAGTTACTGAATGGTTAATCAGTACATTGAAACACTTTTTCCTAAGGGTGAGCATTATGGTACGGTAAATTATCTTAAAAATAATCTTACAACTCCCTAGATGATTCAACTTGACGGGATCTCTCGTCGTGACGTCAGACGTGTCATCCTACGAGATATCCTAACTTCGGCAAGATATATCGAGCGGTCTGTAGATATACATAGCCATATCCTATATATATGTAGCTACATCGACGCAAGGGGAATACATGCAGCTTTCACCTGCCAATAATTTTTGCTGGAAGGATCTTGAAAGTTTGTACGAACGACGTTGATTTATATCGAACGAAAAGTGGTTCTTCTCTCCAGCGAATTAACGGCTGGATATAAATAGATTTACGGTATAGTCTCTTTTTTGTGTTTGGTAAACGTCAAATATATAATTACATATCTCTACGTGATATATTAATTTTTCTACGTTTCCGTAGAGCTTCGGGGCTAATTGTCGATGCTTTGTTGTTGCAGTTTAATGGAATGAAGTATTACATCTCGCCACGTACCGTTGAGGGGCATCCTAGAAAGTTCCACAGTGTCCAGTATGCAGTGAGTAAAGCGTAAAATATTCTATTTCCACTCTGGCTTTGCCAGGTACACGCTGCGACATTTACGCATCGTGAATTGTCTGAAGTATTTCGAGGCTGTTAATGCGTGTATGTGCGAACGGCCGGATGAATACAGATGCGTGTCTACGTGATCGAAATTTCGTACGCCGGTTTATGCTCGATAATCAATGCGAAAGCGACTAATCAGTTACCACCCGCACACGACGCGCAAATTGTCGTTTGGAGTGACGTAAATTGCTGTAGCCGTGGAAACGCCGAATAAAAATGTGTCGTGCGAACGGCGGGATAATAAAGAAGGGCGCGCGACATAATAAAGTTACGTAGACAAATCTTGTTAAAATTCATGATGCGGAATTAGCACATTATGACTTGCAAATTTGCAAAATGCGAGCACGCCGAAAATAAATACGACAGTATTGTCCACTATTACGGTTTCTCAAACGAGCGCATAATCTTCCCTCATACGATTAATGTTCATATACGTCTTTCGCAAATCAAGATAAACAGATGAATGATCATTCGCAATTAACAAACACTCCCTCCCCAAGTAAACTAAAAATCAACTGTAGCGAGCTTTCGCGCATTATTATCCTAATTGTTGATTTTATGAACAGGTTTTAGTACTCCCAACGTTAATGTATACGCAACGGAAATGTTTATGCGTACCCAAAACACGTGCATACATAAATATGTACGAGAGTGTTCGTAAATATTTCGTTTGCGTATTTATACATTGCCAGTGGTTCATGGGCGACGCTTGATTGATTACACCTGAGCCTGCTGCTAATTACTCAACGTAACATTTCGATTACCACATGCAACGGTTAACTGCATAGGATGTTTCGACTGATTAATATCAGTGTACTTAGATTAATGCGCAGCAAGAACGACAAAAATAACACTGGAGGCTAAGTATTATTAATTATTCTGAGATAATTGCGTGTTTTTTTTTTTTGCCATTTTAATATCATCGGTCGTACAGGACATTTGCATATCTACGCTAATGCGTCGTAATCAATAATACTGCAGGTAATCATAATATTATTGAACGATATATTCTTTGTGGAATTGTGCAATTAAGAAACCTCTCTGCGATGCGGCCATAAAGACCGATTACGCTAATTGTTGGTTGTATTAATGTACGTGTATTCCCCTGTATTCTCTACCTATAGTGTAATATATACATATATATATATATATATA